AAATATATATATATATATATTTTAGAAATATATATATATATATATTTTAGAAATATATATATATTTTGCCATGTTGCAGGATTTTGCCATGTTGCCCAGACTGGAATGCAGTGGCTTTTCACAGGCATAATCTTAGTGCTCTAGACCCTTGAATCCTGGGCTCAAGCAATCCTCTTGCATTGGCCTCCTGAGTAGCTGAGACTGCAAGTATACAACACCATGCCTGCCTATTCTAATATTTTATCATCTCATTTTTACCTATAAATCTTTGATACAGATTCAGGTCCTTCGTGTCTCAACACTATTAATAGTTTTGAGGTTATAACTTAATTAAATTTTTTTTTTTTTTTTTGAGACAGAGTCTCACTCTGTTGCCTAGGCTGAAGTGCAGTAGTACGGTTGAGGCTCACTGCAACCCCCTCTTCCTGGGTTCAAGTGATTCTTCTGCCTCAGCTTCTTGAGTAGCTGGGACTATAGGCGTGTGCCATCACACCTGGCTATTTTTTGTATTTTTAGTAGAGATGGGGTTTCACTGTGTTGGCCAGGCTGGTCTTGAACTCCTGACCTCAGGTGATCTGCCTGCCTTGACTCCCAGAGTGCTAGGATTATAGGTGTGAGCCACTGTGCCTGACCACTTAATTAAATTTCTATTCATAATTGGGACTATTTCTCAGCTTTTATTATTTATTGATCTGCTTATTTATGTACCATTTTAATATCTGATAGAGCTAATTCCCACTTGTTAATACAGGAATTTCTTAAGCTGGGGTCTGTGTATATGGAGTTTGTGGGAGATGGGGGATGTATATGAATCCAATGAAATACAGGTTTATAGTTGTGGTTACATTGTGATTCTTTCTGGGGAGAAATCCATAATTTCATTAGATTCTCAAAAGGATGCATGACTCAATAAATGTTGAACCACAGATTTGGAAGAATGTTAGAGGCTTACATCCTTAAGGCAGTCCCTCATGAATGTTATCTTTTGAATCAAATTTTGTTATGAACTGTAGATATAAGTAATTGTTTGTGCATACATAAAATAACCTGGAAAATGCATGAGAAATTGGTAACATTGATTGTCAGATGATGAACTGGTGGTGGTTCAGGAACAAAGGTGGGAGGGAGACTTCATTACTTTCTTAGGTTTTTGGAATTTGGAACCATATGATTGTATTACCTTTTCCAAAAAGTGCATAATATTTTAAAAATTAAGGTGACCAACTGGATAACTCTTCAGTAGTGTCTCTAGAATTATTTCTGTGGAAAAAGAACAGTTCTTGGTTACTTACTGGCTTTTTTTTTTTTTCCAGATGGAGTCTCACTCTGTCACCCAGGCTGGAATGCAGTGGTGCAATCTTGGCTCACTGCAAATTCCACCTCCTGGCACCACACCTGGCTATTTTTTTTCTTTTTCTTTTTGAGATGGAGTTTTGCCCGGTTGCCCAGGCTGGAGTGCAATGGCGTGATCTTGGCTCACTACACCCTCTGCCTCCCAGGTTCAAGCAGTTCTTCTGCCTCAGCCTCCAGAGTAGCTGGGACTACATGCCACCATGCCTGGCTAATTTTTGTATTTTTAGTTAGAGGTGGGGTTTCACCATACTGGCCAGACTATTCTCGAACTCCTGACCTCATGAGCTACCCACCTCAGTCTCCCAAAGTGCTGAGATTACAATCGTGAGCCTCTGTGCCTGGTCCTAGTTTTTGTATTTTTAGTGGAGACGGGTTTCACCATGTTGGCCAGGCTGGCTCAAACTCCTGACCTTTAGTGATTTGCACACCTCAGCCTGCCAGATTGCTGGGATTACACACATGAGCCACTGTACCCGGCTTCTCTTACTAGCTTTTTTATATTACTAGACTTAATGCTAGAGTTCTTTGCCAGGTCACCTTCCAAACCACTGCCAATTGCGTTACCTCTGTATCTCATTTCTTTGGAGAAGTAAAAAACTTGCAAAATGGCTGTATGGATTAAATGAGATAATATATGTAAAACATTTGGCACAAATGTTAGTTCCTTTTCTCAGTATAATTTTTTCTTTATAGGGAGTCTGAAGATACAGTATTGCTGGTCCTCAAAGAGATCTACCAAACCCAGGGTATCTTCCTTGATCAGCCTTTACAGTAAAAGTCACCCATCTATGGCTGCTTAATGTAAGCTTTAAAATGTCATGTATGCAGTGTAATTCTTACATGTTAACAGGTTATAATGAACTATAGAGCCTCAGGCTCTTTATAAATATACTGTTACCTGTCACCCAGATCTAGGCTGCTATTCATTTTTAGAAGGACTGGTAGAAATTCCTGGGGGAAAAAACATAGTAGCCCATTTAGAGGAAGAATAGTGTATGTCTGTTTTCCTAGAGATTTTGTCCAATGACACCTGTCATTTTTTAGGATCTAAACTCAGAATCTTAATGGTTCTGATTAAGAATTACCGTGGCAACAGTTATGATTTTAATTACAAACTACCCATCTGAGATATAAATTACTCAGCTTTTTAGATGTGAAACTATAAAGTCTGTATATTCGACTCTGGCATTCTCTGTGGTTGCCTTCCAGTTGTGATTGCAGCTCTTCTCCCACTCTCTTCTTTAGATGGACGTTGAGGGATCCTTCCCCAGAAAATCCACCTGTTTGTTGCTGCAATTTTCCTCTCCTCAGCTGCGTCATTTCCTGCATGTTGCCTGCCACTTACTCACCACTGGGGTCTTTGGAAGATAATCCTTCTTTGGAAATGAATGGAAAAGCAAAAGGAATACCCTGTTACTTTTAACCACTGGCTTCATATAAACACTTGCCATCTTTTCTTCATAGCTGGGGGTGGTTTGTATCTTTAATTCTTTGATGATAGTTTATTAGGTGCCACACTTTATTGATTAGTACTTGGTGTAAAGCCTATTTTGGGTTTGATTTGTTTTGATTGAAGTAGACATGTTTTTAAGGAATCTATTGCTTATCTTTAGAAAATGTTCTAGTTTGGAAACAGATTATTGAGATTTAGAAGGCATTTTAGAGTACTCTCATCTCTTGTTTGTGTTGAACTGAAGGCTAAGTCTCAGTGGGTATGGAAAAGGCTTTCGAGTGATTTATTTTTGAACCAGCATTTCTATCCTATGTGTACCGTATGAAGAAGGACTAGGGATGTAGCTTAAAAAAGTTGTTTACTCTCTTAGAACTGACTGACAAAAAAAAAAAAAAAAAAAAAAAAAACTGACTGACAGACTTATTGCTAGAAATCACTGATGTTCATTGTTTTTGCAACTGTTTGAGCTGCTGTAAGAGTCTAAAGTTGACAAGTTCATGTTAAGTGCATCTTTATAAAGGAAAGATGTTATATATCATAGGCCTCCCTTTTATATTTGATAGAAGTAATTTGATAATAGCTTCTATTGTTATGTTGAGAGTAGTTATAAAAGCTGATGAACCTGAAATTATGTAGCCTTTACAGGCTGCTTAGGTTCTAAATAAAATCTCTTAGTGTTGCCTTTATGGCGAAACAATTTGTCACCTGCCCTTTCTTTTTTTTTAATTTTTGAGACGGAATTTTGTTCTTGTTGCCCAGGCTGGAGTGCAATGGCGTGATCTTGGCTCACTGCAACCTCCACCTCCGAAGTTCAAGCAATTCTTTTGCCTTAGCCTTCTGAGTAGCTGGGACTACAGGCATGCACCACCATGCCCAGCTAATTTTTTGTATTTTTAGTAGAGACGGGGTTTCTCCATGTTGGTCAGGCTGGTCTCAACCTCAGGTTATCCACCTGCCTCGGCCTCCCAAAGTGCTGGGATTACAGGCGTGAGCCACCGCATCTGGCCCTACCTGCCATTCCTACTTGGGCGAAGGTGGTATTGTGTATCCTCTTTCCTTTTTGGGTATCCATAATCCGCAAAGCATATTTAAAAGGCTCTTGGCAAGGCCGGGCGCGGTGGCTCACGCCTGTAATCCCAGCACTTTGGGAGGCTGAGGTGGGCAGATCACAATGTCAGGGGTTCGAGACCAGCCTGACCAACATAGTGAAACCCCGTCTCTTAAAAAATAAATAAATAAATAAATAAATAAATAAAAAAGACTCTTGGCATGGGCAGCATTGGTTGGGCAGGTAGGTTTGGCTAGGGGGAAATGTTTAACTTACTCTGAAAGAAAAACTTATGCCTGTAGGGTCCAAGAAACAGCTATTGCAGAGTCAGTGTCAGCTGAGTCTGGAACATATGAAGTAGGGTTTAATTCTAAGAACACAAGTGACTGACTGTACACTAATTTTGTCAAGGCATCTTTTCACTACTTTGCTGTAGATTTTTCTTCTTCATTGGTCAGAGTTTGTCATTGTCTTTGCAGTTATCTTTATGATAGTCCTTTCTACTTGCCCTGATTCCACAGGCCTCTGTTTATAGAGTAGCAAAGGCAGGCCAGCTGTGGTTTATTGTTTATAAATTTTTTTGTAAATGTTATGGTATCCAAAGCCTCTGGCATTTAATATTTATTGAAGCCATTCCTTAGACAGCAGTGGTCTTTATCCCTTTCTGGAGAAAAAAGGAAAATGAAGGGTAATTACTGTTGCCGTGGAGACTGTAGAGGTAAGGTTGGGGTGTAGGTCAGGCCTGGTCTTTCCTTGTCATGTGCTTATGGCCTAATGCTAAGTATGCCACTAAGTTTCAGATTTTATGGAATATACTTTATTTTTTAAAAAGTATATAAACTCTGAGTTATTGAGAATTAAGAAGCATTCACTGTATATTAAGGGGAAGCTTTTGCCAAGTTGCAGTCTTCAAATTTATGTTTATTCTTCCTATTGGCAGAATAGGTGCTATTTAAGAGTAAACCAAAGGACAAGCAAGAGTGAGTCCCTGTAACCAAAGATGGACAACATAGCCCTGGATAGCCAGATAAACCACTCTTTGTATTAAGAAATGTTTCTTTCCTAGTGGTGAGGGGGTGGGTAACTGTGAAGAGTTTATATCTTGTCTATTCATGGTATTATATCTGTATATTCCCAGGATAATAAGCTTGATTGAAATCCTGTATTTAGTCATATATTATTTGCACTGCTTTCATTTGTATCATGTGCAATCTGTAGACCAAGCCTATTTTTAAACTCTGGTACAGCATCATTTTGTACATATTCCCAGCTGCAGAATTAGTATCACTTATCTCAGCAAAAGAGATTGTTTGCATGGAAAGATTAATAGCACTGATTAGATTTCTAATATTTTGCACTTTTGAAATGTTTGTTTTTTTATGTGATATTTAAAACTTTAGTAAATACTGAAATCAAACCATATTTTCTAGTTGCCTACTTTCACCTGGACTCATCTGTCACAAAGTAAAGAAAATCAATACAGTAACAATTTTCTCTTCCTTTGGATGTATTACTAAAACAAAAAAAATAAAGTTTTGGGCAAAGAACTAACATGTAAATTCTTTCCCCTTGACTGGTGTTTTCATTGTCATAGGCAGATGTAGTTCAGAAGTTAAAGCATGGCAATTATAAGATAAATATGGATCCTTTTCTTTGGTATTTATAAATATTAGCCATTACCATAGGTAACAGCATTTGAATCACTTATGGTAGATGGGGAATTCAATGTTTTGCTTTATTAAAGTTCCAGCTCCTTAATGGTACTTTAAATATTAAAAAAAAAAAAAAAAGCACAAATTTACCATTTTATTTGAATATCAGGTTTACTGAAGGAAAAAGATATATTGAAAATATAGGAAAATACAGATAAAAGACAAGGCCATATTTAAAGTATAATCACAATAAGGAGAAAGGGAGCTATAGTTCCTATGACATCAGTTCTGATGACACACTGTAATTGTTCCTTATATCCCATTGTGAAGAAGGGGCAGAAAAAGATTCATCTGTCCTTCAGGTGGTGATGTCTGTAATTTTTCTTTTCTTAGTCACTTGGCAGTGTTGGTACATTTGAGCAGATCTTGATTTATGAATGGAAGGAGAGAAGCTCATGAGCATAGTTACGCTCAAATGAGGTAGAAACAACCATCTGTTAGTACTGATACCATACCCCTGACCATTTTCTTCTTTATCGTGGTGTTCACTTCGTAATTCAACACAGTTTATGCCCATGGTGTTCAAAATGTGTGGCAGTACCAGATGGCTGGACTCAGATAAGATACACACAAAAGTGATGAACTACCCCAGATTCGACATTTTCCTATTTAAGGCTTGATGGAATTGTCATCAGGAGATAAACAGAATCAAAGTAATTTAGTTGGTCATTCCTTAGATTTTAAGATTTTGAGCTTTACAATATGGAAATTAAATTTAAAAACTCTGTAGATCTTTGGCTATCCATCTGATAGACCAGATTCATAAGCTGTTGGATACCTTTGAAATATCCCTTTACTAGAATATGTGGCATACAGTAGTTGACAAGAGCTGTGACTCCTCAAGATAGAGCTGTATGAGCAGGGCCAAAAGTGCGTAATCATTTGGAGGCGGCAGAATACAGTGTGGCTTATGTCCTCACTTGTACCTTGGAAGGGGAAAAAAAGGCCATAATTTCTTGTCTTGTGCATGGTCCAGTTTGGAGGGCTAGTTCACCTGTTCTTCATGGAGGTAGATTCTTTTTTTTTTTTTTTTTTTGAGATGGGGGGTCTCACTCTGTTGCCTAGGCTGGAGTGCAGTGGTGTGATCTCGGCTCACTACAGCCTCTGCCTCCCAGGTTCATGCAATTCTCCCACCTCAGCCTCCCGAGTAGCTGGTATTTACAGGTGTACCACCACTCCTGGCTAATTTTTGTACTTTCAGTAGAGACAGGGTTTCACCATGTTGGCCAGGCTGCTCCCAAACCCCTGACCTCAGGTGATCCACCCTCCTAGGCCTCCCAAAGAAGTGCTGGGATTACAGGCGTGAGTCACCGTGCCTGGCCAGATTCAATTTTTAGATATCAAAACAATAAGAATCCCCAGGCTTCTTCTGTGCAGTAGAAAGTGCAGGTTTGTCCTGAAATGGTTTATGGCATTCTGCATCAGTCAGAGGAGGATAATACTGCCGATAGCAGACATAGGCAAACGTCATTCCAATCATGGATCCAACCAGTACATCTGAAGAGAGTAGAAACAAGGTCTTCTCTTAATATTAGACTCTTAAATCCTTTTAGTGTATAGCATAGAGGACCTGTCCCTCCAGGATACTCTACTATGGGGCTAAAATCTCAATTCCAGATTTATGGTTTCGTTAGGCTTTCTCAATTTTATTATAATTACGGGTTGCTCTCTGAACACCAAGTCAAAACACTTTTTTTTTTTTTTTTTTTTTTTTAAGACATTTTTCTCTTTCATCAGGCTGGAGTGCAGTGGTGTGATCTCAGCTCACTGCAACCTCTGCTTCCTGGGTTCAAGTGATTCTCCTACCTCAGCCTTCCAAGTAGCTGGGACTACAGGTACGAGCCACGACACCCAGCTAATTTTTGTATTTTTAGTAGAGATGGGGTTTCACCATGTTGGCCAGGTTGGTCTTGATCTCTTGACCTTGTGATCTACCTGCCTTGGCTTCCCAAAGTGTTGGGATTATAGATGTGAGCCATGGCACCTGGCCCTTCAAAACACATCTTAAGTAAATACAATAAGCTTTGCTCAGAGTGTGTTAAATTATAAATTTTTTTTAATTCAGAATAATAATAAAGGTCCACTTAATGCTATTCATCTACCCACCTCCACCATTTAAAGGGTCCTAGAGGAAGGAATAAAGTCTTTTAAGAGTTGCTTCTGTTTGCAAAAAGCTAGTTTATTTAAAATATAGTTCCTGAAGACCTGTGGACAATACTATCAATGTCTTTTTTGAATTGTGGCTTTGCAGGTATTCTACAATTTTTTTTTTTTTCTAAGGTACAGTCTTAGTCACTTGGGCTGGAGTGCAGTGGCGTGATCTCAGCTCACTGCAGCCTCCACCTCCCAGGTTCAAGGGATTCTCCTGCCTCAGCTTCCTGAGTAGCTGGGACTACAGGCATGTGCCACCATGTCTGGCTAATCTTTCTATTTGTATTTGTATTTTTTTTTTTTTTGAGACAGAGTTTTGCTCTTATTGCCCAGACTGGCGTGCAGTGGCGTGATCTCAGCCCACTGCAACCACCACCTCCCAGGTTCAAGCAATTCTCCTGCCTCAGCCTCCCAAATAGCTTGAATTACAGGCATGTGCCACCACGCCTAGCTAATTTTGTATTTTTAGTAGAGATAGGGTTTCACTCTGTTGGTCAGGCTGGTCTTGAACTCCTGACCTCAGGTGATTCACCCACCTCGGCCTCCCAAAGTGCTGGGATTACAGGCATGAGCCACTGCACTTGGCCTCAACTAATGTATTTTTAGTAGAGATGGGGTTTCACTGTGTTGGCCAGGCTGGTCTTGAACTCCTGACTTCAGGTGATCTTCCTGCCTGGGCCTCCCAAAGTGCTGGAATTATTACAGATGTGAGCCACCACATCCAGCCAGGTATTCTATAAATTGGATATTTTACTTAACTATAGTATTCAGCTTAAATTTGTTTAATTATATGTTTTCTTGAATTTTACTTATGAACAAAAGTCCTATGACAATGAACCTGATTTTTTTTTTTTTTTTTTGAGACAGAGTTTCACTCTTGTTGCCCAGTCTGGAGTGCAGTGACGTGATCTTGGCTCATCCTGCAACCTCCACCTCCGGGTTCAGGCTATTCTCCTGCCTCAGCCTCCCAAGTAGCTGGGACTACAGGCATGCACCACCATGCTGGCTAACTTTGTATTTTCAGTAGAGATGGGGTTTCACTATGTTGCTCAGGCTGGCCTCAAACTCCCGACCTCAGGTGATCCACCCACCTCGGCCTCCCAAAGTGCTAGGATTACAGGTGTGAGTTACTGTGCCCGGCGAACCTGATTTTTAAGAGAGTAAACTGAACTTTGAGGTTTTAAATTTCGTATAGATTCAGTTTAACTTGAACTCACAGTGCTTCAAATAATGGAAAAATTAGGACATTTATCTTTGGTAAACTCTTTCTCATTCTTCCTACAATTTTAAAAGCATATTCTTAGTACAGAACCCAGACCATCCATACTCATTGATTTGTTCATTCAGCAGACATTTAGTAAGCATCTCCTCTGTGCTAGGTTCTGGGAATAAAACGAATGAAATATGCACGCTTCCATGGCATGAATACTTTGCTTACCTTGCCAGTGATGCTTGTAGTCACATGTGCGGGACAGTGCAATCACAGCTGCAAAAAGTAGAGGTGACAGAAAGGCACAGAACCTCCAAGATTTCCCACGGCCTTGTGGTGTGAAGCAGTGTAACTTCCCTGCCAGGTAGAAGGAAGCAAAGGCCAGACCAGCAAATGCAACTAGAATAAGAAAAACTTTTAAGTGTGTATCTTTTAAAGGAAGCTACCTCATTCATCTCCACATAGGAGGCTGGGGAGCATGAGCATGTTTTTATTTTTATTTTTTGAGACAGAGTCTTGCTCTGTCACCCAAATTGCAGTGCAGTGGCACCATCTCAGCTCACTGCATCCTCCACCACCTGGATTCAGGCGATTCTCCTGCCTCAGCCTCCTGAGTAGCTGGGACTACATGCATGTGCCACCACGCAGAGCTAATTTTTTTTTTTTTTTTGAGACAGAGTCTTGCTCTGTGGCCCAGGTTGGAGTGCAATGGTGTGATCTTGGCTCACTGCAACCTCTGCCTCCCAGGTTCAAGCAATTCTCCTGCCTCAGCCTCCTGAGTAGCTGGGACTATAGGTGCCCACCACCATGCCTGATTTTTTGTTTTTAGTAGAGATGGGGTTTCACTGTGTTAGCCAGGATGGTCTCGATCTCCTGACCTCATGATCCACCCGCCTCAGCCTCCCAAAGTGCTGGGATTAAAGGCATGAGCCACTGTGCCTGGCTTAATTTTTACATTTTTAGTAGAGACAGGATTTCACCATGTTGGCCAGGCTGGTCTTGAACTCCTGGCCTCAAGTGATCTGCATGCCTTGGCCTCCCAATTGCTGGGATTACAGGCCTGAGCCACTACGCCCGGCCATGAGCATGTTTTAATCCTTTTTTGTATATATGTCTAGTGTAAATCATTTTGAAGGAAAAGGAAACAAAAAAAAAAATAAAGGACTTAGTGTGCCGAAGTTAATGTTTTATCTGAGAATAGTTTTTGGAATACTGGCTGTCTGAATTAACTTGTTGATGCCTTAGTTTCCTCAATAGTCAAGGCTCAGACTTGTTAAACTGTGGAGTTACTAAAGAAGGGGGATTTTCCAAATTCTAGAAACAAGAGTAGTCAGATTGTCCAATCCCTACTAACTTCCTAGGTTAAATTCAGTGACGTGAAAACAAGCATGGGGTAGAGTCCATATGGTATTCATACAGGAAGAATGTCCACTAGGGAAGCTCTTTCGGCCCTCATTCACCACGTCCTCATCCCCTGTACACATCAAGTCAGAATGCGCTAGCCCATCAGGGAAGCAGCGGTAGAAGAAATCTGGGCGTGGCCTGGAAGAAATAAGCATGGTTGGAATGTAAATCATTAACTCCAGAAATTAGTTTTCAGTTGTAGCAGACATTAATAATCCTGTGAACTATTGGTCAAATAATGCCCCAGCCAAAATAAGGTAACTGGATTAGTATAGTCACCACGCCAGGAGAAAAGCCTTGCTTCCAAGGTCAGCAGTTAAGTTAGGGGAAAAAGCCCCAGTCCAGCACATGATTACTTTTTAGGGCAAACAGCAAATGACACTGCAGCTTCAGGAGATGCTCAAGAGGTCACCGACCCTCTCTGCTGTGGCTGTTGGTGGAAACTGCTGTTCAGGGCAGAAAAGAGCCCAGGTGTCACCTAGAGGACTGAGGTACGGGGAAGGGAGTAAGCGTTGAATGAGAAAAGAAAGATCAGAGTGAAGATAAAGGGGAAAAGGATAAAGACAGACTTGCGGTGGACACCATTACCTCTCTGTCCTGGTGGGTAAGGGCTGAGGCAGATGCTGGGGTGGTTGGCTCTTGTCACTTACCTCCCTACGATCAGTTTTATTGTGTTGGTAAAGACGCCATTCAGAGCCAGGGCAAGGCTGGCAGCTGCAAAGCAAAGAAACTAGTTAGTAGGATCTGTCTAGGAAGAAAGGCATGGTCATGGCCTCATGGAGAGAGCAGCCATGCTGTTTCTGAGATGGATAGAATCCAGGCCTGGGCACAGAATTAATTATGGTCCTCAGTGATCACTCTGTTGTAGCCGAGAACTTCTGTACTAGGCCAAAGACATTTCTGAGGTACAAATAACCCAGTGCATTTAGGCACAGGGCTGCCAGCGGTGTAGCCTGCGTAGCTAAGACCCTACAGTGCTATTTTCTTCTCCTGCGGGGATAGAGTTCATTTAGGAATGCAGAACTGTGTGGCCTCCACACAGGCTCCCCGTGGCTGAACCCCACAAAGACTTCTTAGGTTCCCAGCATGAAGAAACCGGGCGGAAAGGGCTGGCGCTCACCCAGGCACGCTTGTCTGCTGTCTCTCGCGTCTGCCTTCTTGAGAAATTTGGCCAGGAAGATCAGAGACAGTGGAGAGAGAAATGCAATAACCTGAATTGGAATGTCAGAGGTTAAAACAATCCAAGAAAAGCCACACTCGTGTTTAAAGCAGCTCCTAGTGGGAAAAGGGATGGACGTGACACAGCAGGACTCACTAGTGCTAGCTAACACAAGGTCTCTGAGTATGCTTCCTCTGGGGGGTAGCCGGGCGCCACGCAGCACCACCAGTGCAATGCCCGTCGTGCTTGGCCCGGTACCTCAGGCTGAGGCGGAACCCGGCGCACAGCAGCGGAGGGGGCAGCGGGTCCCTACAGAGGCCTCCTCGGGGCGGAGAAAGGACATGTGCCCGCGGGAAGCCCGGTCACGGGGAGGGAGGAGGGCCGATTTTTGCCCACGCACAAACATCGGCTTGGTGGGGAAATACTCCGCCTCCACGTAGGGGTTCCGATAGAGCCACATCTCCTCCGGCTGGATAAGCCTCTGGAACGGGGGGAGCAGCTCCGTCACCCTAGAGAACAAAGTGCAGAGCAGGTCGTCTGGCTTCCCTTCCGCTGCCCGGCCCGCCGCCCTCTGCCGCCTGCCCGCCTGGGAAGCGGGGCCGCCTGGGCCAGGCTGCGGATCTTACAGGAAGGCCGAAAACAGCACTAGCCGCACCCCTACTTCGGCCCCAAAGGCTGCCGCCGCCTTCCCCATCCGGCCGCAAGACACTGACGACGTCGCGCTGACGTGGCCGCCTCCGCGGGGAGGGCCGGGCGGGGAACTACGCACCGCCCCGCTTTCCCGGCCGCCCACGCTCTGGCGGCTCCCAGGAAGCCGACTGGCGGCTGTGCAGTGGGCATCGGCGGGCAAAGGGGACGTAAAGCCAACGGACCTGCCCTCCGGTGTATTTCAGCGGGGAGCCAGCTTCCCAGTTGCAGCCATGATGAGCAGCTCCTCTCCACACCACTGCGGGGAGCAGCCTTCCCCCGGGACTTCGCCTCTAAATGTAAAACCCTACAGCTCCCTCAGAGCCTCGTAGCAACACGGCATTCTGCAGGAAGCTATACTGACTGAGTGAGGTTGGCTAGATTGTGTCATTTACTCTTCCCACCCAGGATGGCCTCCTGCCCAGTGAGTTGTAGCAAAACTATTACTGGCAAAGAACAAGCCCACATTTAATTTGGAACATACAGGACAATTTATTGAAGTCAATCTCAAGCAAAATCCGAAATCAGTGGAATGTCATTAAAAACCTTTCCAAATTAATCCTCATGGAAGGAAAAAAAAAAAAAAAACAAAAAACCACATTGGAATTCCAAAGTATTTGTAAAATAAAAAAGGCAACATCTCAGTAAATATAATGTACAAAAATTATACGTTCCTACCAGCACACACATCAGTAAGAAGCTTAAATATTACAGGCAATCCTAAATACACTGTAACTAGTCAACAATAAGCTATCTATATACAGGTTAACCAAGCTTTACAACGTTTCACACTATGAAATAAAACATCGGCCAATCAACAAAATCCTCAAAATATCATATATCTTGAAGTCTATGTGGCAACATCAAGTCATTATACAGTAATGCCCTAGTGGAACACCCCCAGGGAAAATTAACACTAATCCCTTAGTGTCAAGAGCATCTAGCCAAGTCACAGAAACTCAAAAGAGATTGACTTTAGTGAATATTGATGCTTTGTTATTAAAGACTCAAGTCTCAAGTGATTTAGGCAAAGTAACGGTTCACAGGATCTACAAAGTTTATTACAGATAAAGTACAGAAATAATCTACAAAGATTATCATAAAGAACACGAGAAAATGAAAACAGTCTGTAGGTATCTGTGTTTGTTGTGCAATATCACTCAAATGGGTACAAATGAATTTCTCATCGTTTCCAAATATACACACACCCTTGTATATAAAAAATGATATTAGCCAGTTGTAATACTCATTTAGAATCTTATTAGTGGCAATATAATTTTCTTAACATAGGGTATACAACAGGACAAATGAGATAAAATAATGACAACAAAGTTTTATCCAGTCCATTTCTAAACTGACAAGAATATCTCATCAATACCTTATATAGGTAATCTGACAGATACTTGAGGGCTATTTGCACACATCAACTGTGCTGGCAGGCAGGGAAGGGAGCAGTAAAAGCTAAGGGTGCTTTCTCAGTAACTAGCAGAGATGCAGTAATGCCACATAAGAAAACTAAAGACTGAAAAAATGACTTTGGCATCTGTTCTATTTTCCCTTTTTACTTACACATAAATTACTTTTACAGCCTACTGAAGGACAGGTAACTCTCATCCCCCCCTTCATACATACATGCCACAAGCACCCAAACTTGTCACTTATGCAATGGACTGACCAAAACAAAACAAAAAACAAATGGTTTTTGAAAGACACAGATTACCCACATTTTGGGAGTGTGACATTAAGTGCAATTTTTAATTTTTTTCCCTACATAGACATAGTAAAAGGAAAGAAGATGTGCTTGGGGACAGGGTTGACAAAATGACAAAATAAAGAACATACACAGGAAATATTCGTAAAAATGCTGGTATCTCATGCAGGAGTCTCTTCCTCAAGTGTGTCCAATCAATCTGAGCTATCTACTGAACAAGCCCCCATTTGCAGAACTTCGCCTTTAATCCACACTAAAGAGGATAAGAGACTAGGCTATTTATTTTCAAAACAGTTTACAAAACAATGCTTTCTACTTCATAAATTTAAAAAGAAACTGTAAAATAAGGAGAATCTGAAGAGTTTCAAGTACTTAAAAAACCTGAATTCAATGAGGCAGAGGTCTCAATGTTAAAGTGACTACTTCGTACCTGTGGTAAACATTATGATTCCCCCCCCACTTACCCTATTTAACCCCCCTTTCTCCTGGTACCCCACCCCAGGTAAAAGTTGGTGAGATTTCAGTATATACACATTTCCAACTTTTCAGTATTTGTTAATTTCATTGCAAAGCTGTCTAATTATACTACTCCCTAGTCCGTCTGAAAATGGAAGCAAGTTCTACTTTTTGTTTTACAAATAACCAAAAACCAATTATTCTAGGTAGCTCTAGGCCAAAGGAAAGTGTTTCATTTGATCAATTCATGTCTGCACCAACTTGGACAATTGGGGGGTGGCTGGATGCCTCAGCCTTATGAAAAGTAACTTTAGTCTACACTGCCCAGAAATAAAGCAACTTTCCAATGTCCTTGTATCTCATGTGGAAGTACATCAAATGTAAGCTTCCCAAGCCGTGAGGGCTCCATAGTAACTTATTTTCTTATCCTGTTAGAGGACATGGCATGTAGCAGCCAGCACCTTGACTTTAAGGTGAATGGTAAAGGAAGAGCTTTGTATTTAAAAATGAAATAAAAAACAAGCAACAAGTCCTGGGCAGTCCAGAAATTATATTCTCTACAGATGGCCTGTTTGCAAACTGTAGGTCTGGGTTTGACCTACTGGAACATACCATGCAAGAAACTACTCAAAAAGGAAATTCCACTTCATGAACTAGGAAAGTTGTCCAACAGCCTGTCTTATCTGAGGGTCCTTTACATGATTAGATACTCAGTATCTCTGTTCTAAAACATTATTTACAGACATGTTTTCAAATATTTTGTGTAAATGGCAGAAGGGAGCTGGGAGCAGCCCATCCACCTCCATTACTTTTTTAGTTTTCAGATATGTTACTGAATTGAACATACAGAAAATTCCAAATTTTAAATGATTCTCAAACTCAGCCAGTTCTATAGATTAGCGCAGATCATTTTTGAGAATTTAGAGTGGCAAAAATGAAAATAAAACCCACCTTACTCCTATCTCTGTCCCTGATTAGACATTAAAGAAGTGAATCACTGCCTCTGGCTGCTTCAGCCTTCCAGGAATGAAGGGCCATCCACCCTGTCCTTCCCAGCTAGCCACGGGCAGCTCTTCTGATTCCTCCCTAGCAGCAGTGGTGGTCCAGCCACTCCCTCCCCTGCACAGTGCCTGGGAAGGTTTCCCAGGATTTCATCTTTAGCTCTTACTGATCCAATTTCTGAAGTTTTAGGCTGATTATCAAAAATCTTATGTTCACTTTCAATGAATTAACATGTTAAAAAAATCTACCATTAGCCCATGCTGCTTTAAGTTATTTCATTGTTGGACAAGAATAAAAACCAACCACTTACACTCTGACCACATACAGATTTAAAAGTTAACAAATACCAACTTTAGACAATGAGTGAGCAATATGTCTTCTGGACAATTTCATTGGTGTAGCACGGGCACAGTGCACGTATACTCAAGCACACATAAAGGACAATTTTATCTTTCTGCATCTATAATCTGCAACTTAAAAATATACCAAATAGGTCAACATTCACGCTATGGAGGTGTGAGGAGAGCTCCTTGGCACTGGCATGACTAAAACCACTTTTTAGACCATTAAAGAACACTCATGGCCAAAGACTTCAGAACTATGGTTTTTTTTTTTGTTTTTGTTTTTTTTTTTTTTGAGGCGGAGTCTCGCTCTGTTGCCCAGGTTGGAATGCAGTGGCATGACTGATCTTGGCTCACTGCAACCTCTGCCTCCTGGGTTCAAGTGATTCTTCTGGCTCAGCCTCCTGAGTAGCTGGGATTACAGGCTTGTGCCACCATGCCCAGCTAATTTTTGTATTTTTAGTAGAGACTTGGTTTCACCATATTGTCCAGGCTGGTCTGAAACTCCTGACCTTGTGATCTGCCCACCTCGACCTCCCAAAAGTGCTGGGATTACAGGCGTGAGCCACCACGCCCGACAGCTATTTCGTTTTCTACTCTGATTTCTGAAATGGTGAAACAATCCTATTAATCATAAAAAAAATATTTAAAAAATTTCAGCAGAGCTGTGTTACAGATATGAAAATAAAACGTGACACAATGAAGAAGCTGCATAAAAATACCAAAACCTAAGGTATCTGTAGTATATAGGATGTACCCTGGCTTACCATATAAAAGTCATTAGATAGTAAATAGCATTAAGTCTAAAAGCAAGGAGATAAGATTTCATGTTGGATACTGTTTCAACAAGAACTGTATTTGGAATATTAAAGGAAATCCTTATGTTGTTAGTAAGTTTAAAAAACCAAACATCATATACAAAATAAAATTTTAGTATGATAAAACCTAGCTTTTCTTAAATTATTTTTTTAAAGGACATCAAACTATATAATTGCTCAAGAGCAACGTTTAGTGTTTTGGTGAGCTGTATTTCATGTTACTTGTAGCAATTATATTTGGTGACATAGATTGCATTTTCCATTTTGCTCTTTCTTTTGGGACCATATCTAATCAACAGAAGTATTGGATGCCCAGTGAGTCACCGCAGAATTAATTGCTGGAGTTAGGCAAATGGCAGTTTAGGAGCTTCAGTAAAAGAATGTAGTGTTGTTGTTTTTTACAAGAGAAAATCCAGTATAATTGCACATTTACATACAAAAAAAGAGGCACAAAACAGCTTTTTTCCCTCTTTCCATAGAAGAGCTCTAAGTTGATAAGCAAATAGAATACTCAGTACAGCTGAAGGAATATGGTAGAGCACCTACCCTCGCCACCTTCATAAGGTTACTAGGTACTCAAGGGAAAATAAATGCTACCAGGTACCAGCAATTGTTAAGCAGTCAAAATTCACAGAGAAAGTTAACGTTCATTCAAGCTAACCCTAGACTTCTACTTAGTACAGTGTTACAACAATGTCTGACATTACTAATTATTTCATACAAGGAATACTGAAATATATATATTCCTAAGCATTAAAAGCAAGTGAGTTTCATGAGCAGACATCTTGGTATACTTGCGTCTTTAAGAGTCAAGCGTCACCGTCAACTATTTTTGCTAACACTGACTTTCTTGGGCATTTTCTCCAAGTGCTTCCTAAGATGAAGTGTGTTTGTGAGGCTCTTATGTATCCTGTAGAAGTAGTTCTTCCCCACAATGGGAGCAATGTTAAGTACTGGATAATAGAAATTATTTATATGTAACGTGGGGAAGCCCCTACTACTTTCACCCCCCAAATTAGGAACTCAACCAAAAAGATCTATTCAAATACAATTCAAACTCACTTGTGTGGTTTTACCAGGAAACATGACTGAATGGTCAGCTGGCGAAAGAAATGTTTGATTAGGAGAGGAAAACAGAGACAAAAAATAAAATGCCTGTGCTTCTCTCCAGTTTAGACCAGGGTCTGCATTAAAACTGGACAGAAAATGGTGCTTATATGATCCAACTTTTGGTTTGTGCCTTCATCCCCCTTTAGCTGCCTTTATCAGTGTCAGGAAAATAGGAGTGACCATTCCAACTATGCCTCAGATCCACAGAAACGCACTTCATCCAAACCCAAACCATCTATGTCAATGGAAAATGTTTCAAAAATCAGTGAGCACATACATTCCTCTTTTTCCTTCCTCCAAAAAAACACACTATATATCTTTCTACGTAAAGTTACCATAGCACAAAGCCCACCTCATTTAAGACCACAGAGGTAAAATCCACCGAGGCATTGTTTTCAAGAGGCCAGATTTCCTGCTTCCATAGAGCTCTTCTCTAAGCCTGTGGAAAGCATTTTGAAGGGAAAGAGAAGTGAGTCTACCTACTGCTTAGTAGAGGTATATAAAGCTTATCATACCCTTTCCTAGAGGGCTTTCTCAGATTCCTACTTAAAACACACACATACACTTGATTAGACTATTGAACTACACTTCTTGAAATTTCTAAAAATGAAAATAAATAAAGCAATGATGGCTACTTTTGCTTTATACAACCAAGGAACACATTTTAGACTTTAAATTTATCTCATTAGCAAAACTTTCTTTCCTCTTTGTTCTTATTTTAAAAGCAAAAGCTTTTCTTTTTCAAGCTGCAATGGCATTGAAGCACAATAAAAGGCAAGAAAAGACCAAGGGAATTTAACCCTCCACAAAAGAATCCCTAAACCAACCCAAACAAAACAAAACCAGACACCACCAACTGCTTCTGCCTGCATGAACTGGTTTCCCAATTTTGCTTTAGTAAGGCAGTTCCGATGGCAAAGGCTGTATGCACTGCCGCAGTCTCTTCTTTTTATATGCATCATCTATTTGCTTTTTTCACTGAAATAGAAAGGAGGGGACACCACACATTTATTCTTTTACTTCTTCTCCATGATCTTGTGATTCCCATTTACATTTTATCTTGCTCCAGTATTCTGGTGACACAGGAGACATGGGGTCGTGTTCCGAGCAGCAGAGGCGGCCTTCCAGTGCGGAGGGAACCAGGGCCCCCTTTTCATGATCTTTACAAAATGAATGTGGACAGAACTCACAGAAGGAAACAGCTGCACTGCTGCACTCATCGCACTGATGCCACGGACACTCCCATTTTCCTGAGTCGGGGAGAAGGGGAGGGAGAAGTGCCCAAGTTAGTGCCTGTCTTGATTACCTGTGAAAAACCCAAGTTCCTTCTTCTCTGATTGGAAATGGAATTCAATTGATTACAACTCCAAATTTCAACCAAACACAGATATGGGTGTAGTATTTAGGATGGATGTGAGCTACTGGCCAAAACCCAATGCCATAGGTACCAACTACCCACCTGTGGGAACAGTATACAAGAAACCAATCCTTGATGGCCCACAGGATATCCCAAATGTGTAAGGGGAAAGATTTTTTGCCAGCATGTTTTTTTGCTATTGTTTGTTCTATTCAACATTTCCTATTCCATGGCATGGAATATATTCTGAGTTACACATAGATGGCAAAGACACAAGTTAGGGAAAGGGTCCTGAAGGTCCAGCTTACCATATGGTGGCTGAGTCAGGTTAAGGCATAGGAGGTGGTATGCTTTGGGACAGTCTTTTTTGTCACACATGACCAGCTCTCCACCATCTCCACATTGAAAACAGTAATCTTCATGCATCTGCTTTGGTTCTGTTTTGATCTTTCGTCTCTTCTGCTTTAACTTAGCATTTTTTGCCTTCTCTTCAGTTGTTGACGCACATGCCGACTGGCAGGAAAAAAAGGATCATAGTTTCAAAGATCACAGACAGTGCATGAAGCTGGACACAGACGGAAAAACCCTGCAACCTCACATTCATTTAAATTCATGTGGTGTACAATTACCTAAAAACATCAGGAGGCCTTATCCTGCAACAAATACTATAACAAAAATAAAGCTTTGTTTTCACTGACTTAAAAATTATTATTTTTTCTGAGACGGGGGTCTCGCTGTGTCCCCAGGCTGGAGTGCAGTGCTGCAATCTTGGCTCACTGCAGCCTCGACTTCCTGGGCTCAGGCATTCCTCTCATCTCAGCCTCCCAAAGTAGTTGGGACTACATGTGCATGCCATCATGCCTGGCTAATTTTTGTATATATTTTTAGTAGAGACGGGGTTTCACCATTTTGACCAGGATGGCCTCGATCTCTTGACCTCATGATCCACCCGCCTCGGCCTCCCAAAGTGCTGGGATTACAGGCTTGAGCCACCGCGCCCGGCCCTTGTATATATTTTTTTTAGAAACAGGGTCTTGCTATGTTGCCCAGGCTGGTCTCAAACTTCTGGGCTCAGGTGATCCTCCTGCCTCAGCCTTTCACTGACTTTTTTTTTTTTTTTTTCCAACAAAGAGTTGCATTCTTATTGCTCAGCCTGGAGTGCAGTGGCACGGTGGCTTACTGCAACCTCTGCCTCCCAGGTTTAAGTGATTCTCCTGCCCCAGCCTCCC